GGATGCGCCAGGGTTATTTGAGGAAATAATCACGCACCAGACAGAGGTTTGGATGCATTTTCGTTCCTTCTTCCCTGATGCCCCCTGCAGCCTCCAGAAACAGAGCTCCTTCACGCTATCTTTCATAACGAACTCGTCTTTGGATGAATAAAAAAAAATAATGTTAATAAAACCGAAAAATAAATCGTTGGATTAATCCCTCACGTCGTGACACTAATTTTCCCGGGCTGTGAAGAGGAGAAACGGCGGCTGCGGCAGCCGAGGACGGCGGTGATGGCCCCGAGTTTTTCAATTTGGCCCCTTAAATCCCAGCCCGTCAAGACGCTGCTAAACCCGGGGCCAAGCCGTGCCCCGCTCGGCTTTCGCGACCTATCTGTGCACTCACATGTAATAATTCCCACGCAAGCCAAGGATGCGCCACGCTCAGTCGCCCTCCTCCCCCGCTGCCATCAAAAAAAACCCTCATTTTTGGGGGGCCTGCTGTAGAAGCAGCTCGCTCATCCCCGCGCCGGGAGCAGTGGCCGAGAGACCCATCAGGGGTACAGCCCTCACCGCGGATATTTTAGTTTTATTCCGGTTTTTTGCGCCCTTCACCCTCTTTTAACCCTATTTGCTTTTGGATTGTGGCTGGGGAAAAAGAATTAAAAGGTTTTTAAGGACGGGATTTAAGGTTTTTTTACCTAGGAATTGGGTTGTTGTTTTTTCTCCATCTCTGCTCAGTAGCGCATCCCACCTGCAACCGCATCCCGGGCGCTCCCTCCCAACTCCCTCAACAACGATACTAGGAAATAATTTAGTAGTGGCTTTTCCTCTCAACTGTAGTAATATAATGTTATTTTTTTGTCTTCCAAAACAGCAAAGGAAACAAATTCCTCCCTTCCCCCACCTTTCAAAGAACATACATACATACATACATACATACATACATACATACATACATACATACATATATATATATATATACACATATATATATACATATATATATATATATATATAATTTTTAAAACAACGATTCAAAGGCTCTGCCGCCGCAGAGGGGACATGCTTTCCCACACACCGCCCCCGAATTCCATCGCTCCCCCTGCCACACTCCGCTTGTCTGTGCCATAGGACCGGGATTTCCCATTGCCGTTTTCAGCTATGTTGGCCGCTCACCTCGGAAAAAAAATAAATTAAAATAAATAAAAAATCGTAAGGCTTTTAATTTACAAACGAACATAAGCGCTTGGAAGCAAACGGAAAATACCGGTGTTTTGTTTAAAGAAAGGAGAACCTCAGTGCTGGCTGGTGAGGATGGAGAGCTCTGCACGGAGCATCCCCCGGTGCCGGTGCCCCCGCGGTGTCCCCGCGGTGCCGCTGCGGTGCCACCCGGCTGCGGGCCCCAAACCAGATCTGCGGCCCCGGTCCCGCCGGTTTTGGAGCTCACTGATGCCGGGAATCGTTACAGGGAGCTGAGCTCTCGCTGCCGGTGCGCGGGGGAACTCGCACCGCTGGGTCCCCTGGGCAGGGGCCGCTGCCCAGGCCGCCCCCCGCCTCCCAAGGGGCCGCGCGTTTTGGGGGACAGAGAAAAGAAAAAGAAGGGGGTGCGAGGAGGAAAATCCCGTTAAGATCCTGTCGAAAGCCGCCTATCTGCCTCTTCGGAGGAGCTCTTTTGTTTCTCCGAGGGGAAGGGGCTGGCGGCCGGGGGCCTGCGGGCGGGTGCGGGGCAGGTGCGGGGCAGGGCGGGCAGCGCAAGG